GAAAGAGGCTAAGAGGGCTTTAAAGGAAAGGAAAGAGAATATAGTGGGAAAAGGGAAATATGATGTACCCCTCTTGTTTCATGTATTTCAGTGTACCACCCCACATTTCCATTTTCCCCATAGCTACAAATTTTACATCTCTAGTAGGCATACACTAACAGCCACTCCGGGAGGATGTCAAATGCTCCATACAGTGGAATAGAAATTGGACTTCCTGTGAGGGTTCCTTTTACCTGAAGAAGAGGAGGATACTCTGACAGTTGGGTACTCTCCTTCCCACAATCCCTGGAGATTGTTCCTTCTGTCTCCAATGGGGAGGGAGTTCCCACCACCATCAGTTTGGAGACTTGGGTAGCTAACATAACTCATACTGCAGTGTGCCTTACCAAAAACGAACTGCGGGTCTGTAGGGCAAGATATTTGCAAACAGAGCACAGAACCTGGGAGGAATAATGGCATGTAGAAAACACAGCCTCAAGCAACAGAGACAAGCATAAACAGGAAGCATATATTCAGAGATAAACAGTAGATGATATAAACAACCACTGGCCTTGAATTCTCTCCGAGTGGTCTGAATTATTTGAAGAAGGGACTCTGCAAAAAAGAGGGTAGGTCCAGAGCGTCCTCCTTCAGATAAAAAGAACCTTCACTTAAGTCCAACATTCCAATTTCATTTGAAGAAAAGATGGCATATTGATGACTGGGATATCTCTACACAGAATTCCCAAAATTAGGGAGGGCGGAGGAACACCAGCCAATCAGAAAGGCAGAGGAATCAAACCACTTGCTGAAGGACCCACCACCCAAGTGCTGTATCAACAGAAGCAATGCTATCTATTTCATAATGTCGGTGGAACATGGAAGCCAAAGCTCATGAAGCAGCTTTAAAGATACTGGAAATTACTGATGCTGAGAGCCACACAAGTGGCTGCACTTTTGACGAAGTGAACTGTGATACCCACTGGCACACAACTGTACAGTATGCAACAGTTATACACTCTGTAATCCACCTGCTTAGAGTTGTGTTTGACACTTCCCCCTTTTTGGTACCCAACGGTAAGCCACAAAACAGGCTATTTGATTTTCTAAAAGGAGCAATGAGTCTGATGTACATACGCAATGCCTGTCTAAGGAGCACCAGTTCTTTTTCCTTAGATGAGAAGGTTTAGGGTAAAAAGCTGGTAGATAGCTCTCTTGTGAATGATGGAAGAGTAAATTGGCTTCTGGCATAAAGGTAGGATCAACAGGCAAAACCACTATGTCCTTGTGGAAAACACAAAATCCTATGGCTATACATAGTGCTCCCAATTCAGATACTCTTCTGGCTGAAATTACTGCCACTAGAAAAACACACTGAGAGCAAGGAATTGCTGAACCCTCCATCAGAGGCTCAAAGGACACTTGAGACAACCCATGAAATAGTATGTGTGGTCTCCATGATTGGAAAGAGTGGATGGTGGGAAGATGAGACAGGGTGGCCCCTTTTAGAAACTGTCTGACCCTAGGATGTCAAGATACTAGATATCCTTCCACTGGAGACAGTCTCCATGGAGGTTGTGTTGATGAAGCCTGAAGACCTGAGAACCAGGGCCACGGACTAAGCTAGGGCTATACAAATCAGTTCCCCTTTTTTCTGCTTGAGCTTATTTCATTACTTTTGGAATTAAATAAACAGGAAGGATGGCATAAAGAAGTCTCTACAGCCACAGAGCTATTAGGGCATCCACTCTCTCTGAGAGCACAGATACTTGGTGAGGAATATCAGAAGTTTGGAGCTCCGGGGAACAGTGAAAAGGTTCACTAGTGGTTGACCAAACTGGGGAATTAGAAGGTGAAACACTGAATAAGCAAGCTCCCATTCCCCTTGGTCAAGGTGACTGTGACTCAGTCAGTCCGCCTGTATGTTGAGGGACCCGAAATGTACATTTGCTCTCAATTAGATCAGGTTAGCTCCCCATCATGTCATCAACACTGCCACCTCTTGCTGAGACCTGGAAGACCTGGTACCTCCCAACAGTTCATATGGGCCTTTGCCATTGTTAGTCCTGATGGAGATGTTCAGATGATGAATATGATTCCTGAAGAGGTTGAGTGCCAAAAAAATGGGCCACAGTTCTAGGCTGATACTGGAGAAAGTATCTGACTGGGACCAAGCTCCTTAGATAAATCCGAGCGCCCCATCGTGTCATGCTGGCACTATTAATGATCTGAATATCTGTACAGAAACAGATAGCCTTCCCCACCCCACCCCAAAAAAACATGATTTCTCTTCTGCACCATGAGAGGTCCTCCAACAGTTTCCTTCTGATTGCTACTCTTAGGTGTGGTAGACAGGAAAAGGCTTTTCATCCCCCCTGGCTCAGTCATTTGCAGAAAACTCTTTCTGGGATGCGAAAGCTAAGGAGGATGAAAGTGCTTGTGGTGAAGCTGCAGGGGCCTTTCATGGCTGCCTTGATCGGCTCTCTGCTGACCCCTCTTCAGGGGGACCTCCTTCTGTCTATGATACCACTATGCACTGATAAATTGTTCCATCCAGGCCAGCAGTTGTACGGCGACACAGAAGCCTGCCTCCCTCCTCCCCCTCCCAATTCAGAAATATTGCAGGGAGCTCCCACCTGCTGCTTATGTATCATCTTGGAACATATCCCTTTCCCAGTGAAATTAGCCCGGCAGAGTCCTCAAGCCATTTGCGTAACTCCCCAGCATGTATTTGTGTTTTCCTGCCAAAATGCAAATAGCCGCCACTGCCCTTCTCAGAGTTTGCAGGGCTTATTGGCTGCTTTTGTATAGCTGTCACTGAAGGGTGGGAAGAGGCATGGGCTAGTGTGACCCTTTTGCTTTGCAGCTTGGGGGCGGGGGGCAGGGGCGGTGACTGCCTTCATTTCTCCCATGGAGGATTTTACAGTGGGGGGCGGTGACTACCTTCATTTCTCCCATGGAGGATTTTACAGCATCTGATGGGGCAGGCAAAGAAGCTGCTGACACCATCAGCATGGGTGAGTCAGAAATCTCAGAGAAATTATAAATGAGATTAATAAAACAGCAGCATGTTTGTTTTTTTCCTGTGGTACAGCAGCAAAGAAGAGTAGACATATCCATTAAGCAAAGGGACACCAAGGAAGAAACAACCTAAAAACCTGACAAAGAAACATAGAGCTCTTTCCTTGCCCTAAACTGAGGAGGAAACAGGAATGAGGATGGTGGGCACTTCTTCCCCACTGGAGACAGAAGGAATAATCTGCTTCCTGCCTTCAGGGACTGTGGGTAGGAGAGTACCCAATCATCTGCCTGCCTCCTCTCTTCAAGTGAAAACAGGAAGCATGCCACACAAGACTCAGGATGGTCCCATGTACTACTACTGCACCTTACATGGACGTATCTCAGTAGGAATCAAGGCAGCAAGTGTTCATATATGATGGTGTCTGTGTTTCCTGCCTATTTGCATGCCCTGTAAGAAGAGTAGGAGGTCAAGGAGAGGCCACTAGGCAGTGAAGAATATTCCTCTTTAGCACAAATACATTCAGAAACACAACCCTGCAAAAACTCTCCCTTGCCTTCCACCCAACCTAGAGATGTGAAGGCCCAGAAGATAACTGGAAATGTGTGTTAGTCTGGTACAGTTTTGGCCCCATGTATGAACAAGATGGGTTTTTCAAGTGCCTGATTTCATTTGCAGACTGAAATTCCCAATTCAGTTTCTGCTGATAAACACTGTTAGAACAGGGGCTGTTTAGGCTACCCACACCAGTGTAAGACAGCAGTTATACTGTTAGCCAGTCAACAATGTGCTTCTTTCCTAGACACATTTCTGAAGTGTGATTATGATGCCCCCTACGAGACGTAGATACAAGAACTTATCTAGGGAGAGAAGAGTGAAGAAAGTGGGTCTTACCTGGCAGAGAGAGAAACAGAGAATGGAAGAATAAAAGATTGAATATGACCAACAGCTTTGCAGGGTGCATCATGGGAAAGGGACTGAACACCTGAGCCCTGCAGGCATTCGCAAGCTATGACTTTTGTAATCACAGTGGTACTCTACACCAATGCTCCCTCTAAGCTGTGGAGTCTTGTGAGCAAAAATTCTACTTTGTGGGCGACTGGCATTAAAGTTGTGAGCGAGCGATTTGGCTACTTCATAAATCAGTTTGCTCTGGAGCCATCCTTCCTGAGCTAAGACAAAAATCTGTGAGCAGGAGGCTAAGAAATTATGAGCTAGCTCACACTAACTCATCTTAGAGGGAACACTGCTCTACACATCAGTCAAGTGAACAGACTGGTGGAGAAAGCATGTCTCTACAGGCCATTATTAGTTGACAAATCTTAGGGAAAAACCCCAAATACTCCTGTTGTGTGAGAATTGATGCTGCCTGCTCCCCAACTGGACATAACCATGTCCTGTATATCTAAAGCCACTTTCAATGTTTGCCAGCACAAGCATGTTTCCTTGATCCCCAAGTGGGAAAATCCTCATTGGAAGCTCCCGAATGTACTGCTGATGGCTGAAAGCATGAACTCTCAGAGACATACCTGCCATTCTCATAAGCAGAAAGACCAGCTTGATGACCAAGCCCTGTGTAGCATACTGGAAGATTCCTTCTTTAGTTTGTAGTCTTTTCATTCTTCCCTTGTGGAGTGATTTTACTTTTTAAATTTTTCTTTGTGAGGCCTAAGGGATTCTTGGTCTAGATGGGCCTGTTCTGTAGTACCAAGCTGCTGTGTTTTGTCCTCCCCTCTTCCTACTGATTAATCTCTTAGTATGAGGGTTAAGAGACCTATAAACCTCTGAGGGTCCTGGTTCTTCAACCTTCCTGAATCCTTGGATAGGTAGCAATGAAACTGCATTAGCTTGCTTCCTAGGGAACTGAGGTATAAATGAAAGGTCAGGAGGGTGTTGGGGAAGCAAGTAGTGTTTCAACAGTAAAAGCAGCTAAAAGCAGCTAACATGGTATTAAGCTTCCTTAAGCTTTCTGCCACCTGTTGTTTCAAGTGTATTTACAATGCATAGTGGCTTAAGACTGTAGTACTTTTACTATACTGTAGTACCATTACTTTTACACTGCCTATTTATGTATCCCAGTTTGGTGCAGTGGTTAGGAGCACAGACTCTAATCTGGGAGAAACAGGTTTGATTCCCCACTCCTTCACATGCAATTGCTGGTGTGACCTTCGGTCAGTCATAAGTTCTTTCAGAGCTGTTCTCTCAGGAGCAGTTCTCAAAAGTGTCTGTTGTGAGGAGGGGAAGGGAAAGGGATTGTAAGATACTCGGAGACTCCTTTAGATAGTGAAGGGCAGGGTATAAATCCAATCTCTTCTTCTTCTATCCCATATACATCCTTCTGGTGGTTCTATATCCATACTTTTTCCTATATACTCATTCCTGTACCATGGAGTCTGCTTTTGTAGCATACTGTGCAACAGTTCCTTCCAATAAATTGTTTAATTCATATAAGTCACATCCAATGCTCCCTCTAAGTTATGGAGTCTTGTGAGCAAAGATTCTACTTTGGGAGCTACTGGCATTAAAGTTGTGAGCAACCAATCTGGCTACTGCATAAATTAGATTGCTCTGGAGCCATCCTTCCTGAGCTAAGACAAAAATGTGTGAGTTGGAGGCTAAAAAACTGTGAGTTAGCTCACACTAACTCAGCTTAGAGGGAACCCTGGTCACATCATGGAGTCTGTGTCTTCATATTGACAGTCATAAACCCACTGGGGTGATAGGAACCCATAGGACTGTATCCCTACTGCAAAGGAGACAAAATTAAAATGTGCTTAGATAGCAATGGCATTGGGCACACACTTGTTTGCCATTCTCTCCAACTTTAGCACTCGGTGTATTTGCTGTTTCACTTGAAAAAAGCCTAAGAGACTTATACTTTTAAACTCCATAAACATGCTATGGAGTACAATTTTGGATGATAAAATACATAATTTATCATTAGTTCTGTTCTTAAAGCAGAGCAAGATTAAGTTTGCTAGGAAAGTAAGTATTGCATCTATTTCAATTCTTACCCCGTTTCATCACACACACCACTACCCCCAAAAGGAAAACACTTCTCCCCCATGGCTTTAAAATTTCTGGAAATTTCTCATCTCTAGCCCAGCCATGTCCCAACCAGTTGTTCCTCTTCTACCCTGTGCACATGATTACTGCATGGAGCCTTCTCTCCCATTGAAAGCTCTTCTTTGCCTTTTCTCTCTACTTCTGCCCATCCACCTACAATTGCCACATACGATCCAAGCCAGCAATTGCAAGGGGATAACACAGGAAGGGTTGTTGTCTTCACCGCCCTTGCTTGCTCAAAACAAGATACTGAACTAGATGAACCCTTGCTTTGTCATTAAGCAGGATTTATATAAGTTCTTAAAGCATTTTGGTTAAACCCACAGGCATTCAGCAGGCCTAGCGACAAAATGATCTCTTCTTTATATATACTGCTTTTTCTACTAAACTCATTCTTTTAATCTCATTACCCATTATCCCCTTCCCCCAGCATGAAAAGTACAGGAAGTTGTGGCCAAGGGAGAGAGGTGGGGCGGTTGCTCCAATGTAATACAGGTGTACTTGCCAGACCTTCAAATGCTGGCCTCTGCTGCAGCATGGAATTCAACTGAGGGCTAGAACTTCTTAGTTATCCTGATTTTGCTATTGAGCGTATGCTTTAAAACCCGGGGCAAATGAAAAAGTGAAATAATTTCTACCGTATCAGAAGACTAGTAACTTTTAATTAATGTTTTAACTTGGGGACATATAGCGTGTTTATAATGTTGTGTGGTCATGTAAATACATCACTAGATGGAAGTGGCAAGAATAATAATCAAGCCACTAAGTATTAACACCAACAGCATACCACTGCATGGTTTACCATGGGCAGGAAACTTTAAAATCCTAGGATAGCAAGGACATTGATCTATGTTGTCTATTTGTCCCCCGCTTTTATCTACCTGAGGCAGTGTTTGAACCAGGAACAGATAGTGTACCAAGGTTCTCTGATGAAAGTTCCCAACTTCCAAAATGGAATGAAACAATTCAGCCAACAAACCAAACCAAAACTCTCCTACTGAGAAATGGAGGTTCCAGCAATCTGTCAGCAGAAGGTGCTGATGACTGTAGATCTTCTGCATTTCCACTGCCTTCCCTTTGTGCCCAAGGAAACTTGACAGGCAAAACGGGAAAGTGGGGAAGATCCATGGCCACCTTCTGCAGACCAATCACTGGATTCAGGCCAGTGTGAGCAGAACAGATACAGAATACTACACACCAGAAGGGATGTCCCACAGTGACCTAAGTATTATTCTGTTCCTTCTTACATACCCTTCACAGCAGAAGCATGGTCCTCATAGTAATAACAATGGGAATTCACAAGGCAAGGTTTTCCCTCTCACTGGTGACACATCAACAGGATGTGTAAGAGCCATCCACAGGAAAGGAGTGCATTTGTCACTTTGTTTCAATGCCCTGAAGTATTTGACAAGTTCTCTTCTGGAAAAGCCAATCTTTCATAAAAAGATGTCTTATTCTGAGCCAGACCATTGTTCTCTCAAGGTTAGTACTGTCTGTTCTAACTGAAAGTGGCTCTCCATGATCTAAAGTAGGTCTTTCAATATCAGATAATACCTGATTAGCACCAATTCATAAAGGTTAGAGATGCAAGGGACTGAACCAGGGATCTTCCATCTGCAGAGCAGATACTCTACCACTGAGCCACAGTCCCTCCATAAAGGCTATTTCTGTTTTGTCTCCTACATATAAAGAGTGTTTAGTGGAAGCGTGGGATTCTTACCACCGTACTCCAGACCACCTGAAGACACTGGGGAAACAGACTATTGCACTTCAGAGTAAGACACAGCCCCAAAGGATTTGATGTCAGGCACACTGGTGGGGAGGAGTATGGCTGAGCAAGGTCTCTAGGTGGGTGGGGGAGGGGGACCAGCAAGCCCAAAAAGTGGTTTGCCTAGGAGGGGAGAAAAAGGGATATCCTTCCCCCACAAGCCTCAATGGATGGCTGAGGGTGAACCCTTTGAATACCACTTCCACCAGATAATACTAAGAGGAAGGAAACTAGGCAACAGTTTGTTCCTTCTACAGTTTTTTTTTTTAAAAAAAGAATATATATGTTTCACGTCCCATATATACCCATCTTATATTCTAGAATACCCCACTGGTGCATTCAATCTGATCAGCAAAAGCAGGGAACAGAAGTTCATGGGACAGTATGGAGAAATATTTGCCCTTCCAAACAAGCTCTTTGGCGAAAGCAAAGATATTTCCCACTGAGATTGAATCTAATCTCACTATTATACAATCCACTCTAGAAAGAGCCCTCCAATACACTAGCTGGTCAACTTCATTCCTCGTAGTTGTATCTGACAAGTGACAGAATGGGGACTGGCTGAGTATTTGTTACACAAGGGCTGCAATCACCCACACTAAATAATCCGCTTTCAATGCACTTTCCAACTGGATTTTGCCAGCTCACTCAGTAAAATCCAGTTGGAAAGCGGATTGAAAGTGAAATATTTAGTGTGTGTGAATACAGCCAATTACTACAGAAGAAAAGTGGTGATCTGCATGAGTGAATGCACAATCACAGATTAAATACTACAGACAGAAACCTCAAATACGATGTTCTACAACAGTGTCAGTTGATATGTTCAGTTGCAATCATCAAATATTGAACAAAGCAATGAGAAAATAACTGATGTACATGTATGTGCAAATTATTAATAAGCCATTACCCAGCAAGAATAAAGAGTTGTAATTACATCAGATAACATCTTTGCTAAAACTACTTCTGCACATCATTACGAACATACAAGTGCAGAGAGAATAATTTGTCAAAAAGCCCAGGAACAGGAAGAAACAGAATAGCAGCTGATGTATTTTCAGATCCTCTAAAATACTAATAAAGCACTGTCAAGAAATTGTCCTTCTCTAGCCGTTTCTTGGCCTTTCCAAATCTTTGGTTCAAGCTTTTGGACCTACTAAGTACAGAAGGTCCCCCTCTGTGAAACTAATGTCATGAAGTCTTACAATTCAGAGATCAAGATAAAGGATGAGACTGACACAGGTGCAAACGATATCATGAGAGTTTCAAGGTTGAGAGCAAGAGAGAGTTTTGCACTCGCATTCTATCCCATTAGAGCATAAGAACGTAAGAACATAAGAGAAGCCAATGTTGGATCAGGCCAATGGCCCATCCAGTCCAACACTCTGTCACACAGTGGCCAAAAATACCAGGTGCCACCCGGAGGTCCACCAGTGGAGCTAGGCCACTAGAACCCCTCCCACTGTTGTCCCCCCCCCAGCACCAAGGAACCTCCAGCGGGGAATGAGTGCTTGCTTGACTGTGGGCATGAACTAGTTGCAGAAGTTCATGGTCACATGTTTTAGAAACACACCTGATTGGTCAAACAGGATTAGGCCAGCAATGGACAGTTTGGCATAAATTGAGATAATTCATTCCAGTTTGTACCTTTGGGTCATGCTTTTGACAAAGTTGGCCCTTGCATGGCTGGAATACCTGCTTTTGGACTTTGAAACTCTATTTGGACTTTGCACCTACAGGTCTGACAAGGTAACATCTAGGTCCGAGGACTAAAGCCTAAGTACCCTAA